AGGACCTCTTCAACACATATTTTGTTTTTCTATAAAACATTCATGAATCAAATGAGTGATGGTATGAACAGATGTACGTACCGGTGACAGGCTGAGGACAGATGGTGGTGTGCAGGGCTTACACTCTGATAAGGAATCATTTCCATATCTGCATTTAACCTTATCTCCATCTGGGTCAAAGGCCAACAGATTAATGGTTCTCTGGCAGTTTTGTGGAACTCTGAAAAAGCAAAAAGTTAATTTAAACAACAAAACTAGGACATAGTCCAAGTGAATCACTTAAGCTTTTGCCTAAAATGAATATTTTTGGTCCCATATCTCCGTGTTCCATCAGAGAAACCGCTATACTTTTAGCTCAACATCAGTGTTTTAGCAATTAGCTCTCTTTACACCTCACACCTTCTCCTAACACAGGGACCTGTCATGCCCATCTACTTCTGGACCATGGATCCCAACTGCAAAATAACCCTCATCTTCAGCAGGCTAATCAGGCGGGGTACACCCAAGGAGCCATTTTGGTCTGAATTTTATGAAGCCAACAAGGATGTGGAAAAAATTGCAGTTCCACCCTCATCCACTAGGAGCTGGCACCAAAAGTGAGCAAATCCTCATTGACTCCCATGTTAAAAATGCCAATTTCACAGAAGAAATAAACATGTTACAGTCTGGTTAAAAAAAAAACATTTTAAGTTTAATAGATCTAGTTTACCCTCATGACAACTCTGAGGGGGGTGCATTTGTTTGTAACTCTTCTAAGAGAAATTAAATGCCTAAAATTCTGAATATTAATGAGCATCAGAGCCACGCCAGAGCTAGCTCCGGGCAAAGGACTCAGCCTGGGCCTCATGTTAAAATATTCAGCCATGTCCGCTCTCTGGACCTTAGTTGAGTCCTCTGTGGGTTTGTGTTTGGATGTGAATCATGGAATTATTTGGACAAAAAGGGCAAGCTGTGGTACTGACTGCACTAACCGATCATTCATGCAATTTCTGATCTTTTCGGTAAGTAAAATTATTTTTGTAATTTATTTCACTGATTGAATGGGGGAAATGCTGTGAGTTTAACATAACACTGCTTGGTCAAAGATGGGGTGAAATATAACGTGTTGGTTGGGCTGGCGGACTGGGAACTGAAACCTGTACACTTGCTAGCTAGCAGAGGCTTTGGGGCTTTGCTGCTCCACAGTGGTCAAAGATCTGGGAGGTTGCCGTTGCGGAGAGGTTTTATTAGTTTTGGTAACGTGCCTCTCCCTTTAACAGCGGCAGTGCTGTGATCAGAGATCCACAGATCTGCTGCTCCGTCCTTAAGGAGAAAGCCCAGCGAGGCGGACACCCAGCCCCTCCTGTCTCTCAGCCGGTTAACAGCTGCTATGCGCAGGCAGCCACAAGCTCTCGTCTTCTGAAGGGGTCCGAGATGCGCCGTGCGTCCGCCTGGCTTCCATGCTAGTGAGGCAGAGTGGAGTGAAATGCTCTACCTGCTGCCACTTCCCCTTGATTATGGAGCCAGCCAATCAGGGCCCTGGTGTAGCATACCTCTCCCCGGTGTAGCGTGTGGTTTGCTGTGGTGGTGGGATTTTGTGTTTTGGTCTTCAGTGTGCAGTGTTTCACGGGTGACCTGGTGGCGGTGGGATACCCACTGCTCCTCTTTAGTTTATTCTCCACATGGTACGATCCAACTGTGGTTAATTTTATGAAATTCTCTTGGATAAAGAGAATAATTTTAAACTTTCTTTTATTTTGTAAATAAAACTTATAGATCGGAACCACACCATCTTTGAACTTCTTGAGTGAATGGGCCTACGGGGTTAAGGGCTTAGCGATCCCTAGGGTGCCGTGCCCTAGGTGGTGGTGTTGGGTTTTACTAATCCTTCTATAAAATGCCATACCAGGTTTTAGTTGTGCTGCTCTACTGTGGAGCTCACTTTTGGAGTCGCTTTATTGTGTTTCTCTCGCTAATAGCGCCCAAGAGACCTTTGGTAGCTTGTGTTAGCGTGCAGCTAATCTCCCGCTGATCTCCGACCGAGGCGGAGCATGACCTCACGTAGGTGGCCAGGACACCCGGCTCCAATCACAGCTGTCTGAGTCTCTGCTTGTATTTTAAAAATCCATATTAAAGCTTATCTTCCCCTGGGTTTTTCCTGTTCATCCACTGTGTTTTCTTCCTGAGCAACCGGATCACTCCTCCTGCCCTGCAAGATGGTCGCCTTCGTCAGTTTACCCCATCACCATGACGATGACAAGAGGATCCGGCAGGACGATTACTGGATGTATCCCTCCACCTTCTCCCAGGTGGGACTGATTGGAACCGATTTCTCTTCGGGACTTTAAAAGAGGAGTCTAGCCTCCATTCAGGCAGCTACTTGTAGTCAGGTAGACTCTAGGGTTGTTTGAAGGCTGTAAGCCTGGTTTGTGAAGTACTTCTTGGATGTGTTGAGCCCTTTTGAAGTTTTAGATCCTTTTTGCTCAAGTCTTTGAACTGGTGTTAGAGTTCAAACTCCATTTAGGTAAACTTTCGGTAGTTTTGGCACATGGTTCATTTGTTTGTAGTAAGGTTGAGAGTGTACACACACACACACACACACACACACACACACACACGAGTTACCTTTAGATTTTATACTGACACCTGTTTCCTCGCCAACAAGCTTGTTTAGTGGGTTTTGCTAAAGTAGAGGTTTTGACTTTACTGTTAATGTCTTTCAGAGATTTGACTAGATCCCAGTTCTTCTTCTTTCTCCCTGTTCCTTTATTTTGGGACTGTGTCTAGTTATTTATGTTAGTAAATCCAGTCCCTGGCCGATGTGTTATCTTTGGTTTGTAAAGAATAAAATCTTTTTGGTTGCCTCTAACTTGCTCCTCTTTTGCTACTTAATTTATCTTTTATGTTCTGGGTCAGAACCAGGATTTCCTAGTCCAAGCCAAGTCAGTGTCCTGTAAAAGAAGACCCTAACAAGTGGGGACTTGTCTGGGATTTTTCTCGTTCTGATTTGTCAAGTTGGCGAGGCGCATGAACAAAGGAGAATAGTGGACTTTGTGTGTGTGTGACATAACGTAACAATGCTAGACACCAAAACAAAGCTCCTCAAGCTACCAGCATGACAGCCTCAAAGCCAGGTAGGTGCGCTAGTCGGCTGAGCTCATTCTTAGCTTCTTAGGTTAGTGAATGTAACGTGATGTAGGAGCTATTCCACCGAAGGCTATTTACCCTCTCTCCTCAGATGCCTCTGACACAGAACTAGTCTGCATGAGATATTGCTCAAGATCATGCATTTGCTTCTAAACTGCTTCCCTTCCAGCTCAAGAGAAGAATGAAGACAAAGAACTCTTTCTTTTAATAAATCAAAGAACTCTATTTTAATGAAGCTAATCAAACAAAGTGTTAGTCAATAACAAATGTGAAACAATCTGTGAAATGAAAATATTAATTACTGGATATTATAATCCTATGGAATATAATAAGTAATATAACATTAAATGTTTCCGCTAGAGACTGATTACACGTAATGTAGCAGTCACATGACACATTGGTTTTACTGATCCAATCAGAATCTGCCAGATCTGACAGAGGCGTGGTTTTGGTGGTGCTTGGTAAATCTGTCATCTTTTCATTCGACCATAAACCAAAACATCCGAAGTATAAAACTATGCCCACGTCATCTTTAACGCCAGTTCAAAGTTCTAGAGAAGTGTCGGAGTGGCCAATCCGTAACTTTCCTCTTCAGCCAAAATAACCAACGACAAGCTGGATAAAATCTGTTGCTGTTCCACCTGCTGCAACGGTTCCTTTCAGAATAAAAGCTGAACCATCAACCCTTTTTGGCTCTCGCTGGATGCCAATAAACTGTCATGACCTGGTAGTATCTCAAGACTGGTCTGGTTGGCAACCGCTGCTTTTCCTACCGGCTTCGGGTCCAGAGAAGGTCAAGCTGGACCTCGACATTCCTGATCTAACGGGGACTTCCGCAAAGGGTACGTAGGCCGGCAGAATGGCGTCTCAATGTGTTATAAATCTCCAAACCAAAAGCTTAGCACGAAACATCATCTTCACTCCCAACAGAACTAATCGTTTCTCCGGATCTGCTGGTTCTGAAATATTCACACATACACCATTCTCAGTCTTACCTCACCTTAGTTACACCATACACCTAGTATTGAAGTTAGTCTAGTTTTAATTTGTTTAGTAATAAATCTTTAAACTTTTAAATCTTGACTCACTCTCTTTTCTTGAAGTTAATACGAAGTGTTGCTCAATCCCTGCAATAAAAAGATCCGATCTTCTGATTAATTTTACTTAAAGATCCATTAAGGTGATATTTCATACTTCATGATATTTCACACTTTATGGGTTCTAATTAAATGTAGGAACATCTTCTCTACATTAAGTAGTGGCTTCATTTGTTCATTTGGTTCCAACCCTGTTCCAACTGTTTAGATATGTTTATATATGTTTATGTATTTAGCAGACGCTTTTGTCCAAAGCGACTTACAGTGATAATCGACATGTTGCCCTTGAGGCTAACAACAACAATAACAACAACAACTTGACATCAGTCATGGAGAGGAGGGAACAAGGAGTGGACAGTAGAGAGGGGGGGATGGGTGCAGGGAGGGTACTAGTTAAGAAGATGCTCTCTGAAGAGCAGGGTCTTCAAGAGTTTCTTGAAAATTGAAAAGGAAGCCCCTGTTCTGGTGGTGCTTGGAAGTGTAACAGCCCCACCCTCTGCTCAACCCTTTTTCTTATTTTTGGATTGTCTGGGCATGACACAGCCAAAATAGCAGTGGGGGGAACCTCCTATTTGGCTTCAAAC